GAAATCATATGGCTCTCTGACGATAATGAGCGACCAAAGGTGAACTTATAAGAGCTAAAATATGTATGAGGAAAAACAAAAATAATACTATAATTTTTAACAGAACTAAGATCTTAGAGCAAGAATGCAACTAATGCACAACTATATCAAAGCGTGCACAAGGGGAAACAGAACTTAAGAAAGAACGTAGAATAGAAACAGCAGGACTCAGAACTTGGACGTAGAAACAAAAGTAACTTAAAAAGAAAACAAGCAATAGGCGCTTTATTGGTCGCGTGTAACATAAAAATATCCAATGAAAAATGAATGGATAGGGGCGCATGCTTCATCACACTTGTCAGGACGTAGAAATTTTCTTATTTAAAAAATTAGTTTTAGCTTCCTTTAGGTCCCCTTTTTACCTTGGACCTGAACTGTAGTATGATAACTTTGTAGGAAGAACTTTTAGCACTGTATAAGTGTTTCTTATTTTCTACAAGTTTTTCTTTATTCAAAAAAAGAAAAACTTGCAGGTTTAAATTTAAAATTTTTACTACCTAGCATTAATTTATTTATTTATGCTGTTGAGAGTTACAAAGAGGGGTTTAAACCCTTAAGTGCTTAATCCATCTTTATATTTATTTTAAAAAAAAAAAGCGGCTGGCTTTGAATTTTACCGAAAAAAAAAGGAGAGGTTGGCACAGAGTTATTCTTAAAGTCGGACAACTAATCTGCTCTTGAGTAATGGATATGTACCTCATGTTATGAAATATATGGACTTGCAGTAATACAATTAGTTTGCGTTTAACGTTTCAGATAATAACTTGAGGTGCTTAATCTGACTGCTGGAATTGTTGTAGGAAAAACGTATGTAATAGTTTTTGATGGCAGTCAATGAAAATTAATTTTTACTTGTATACAGCGGGCGTTGGTAATCGTTCGCAGGTCTCTATTATAAAAATTAAAATTTTTTAGTTCTCTTGCGAGGTATAAGGTTAGGTGGCCGAACGCATACAAACACTGTTAATTCTATGCACACTGTATAAATAAAGTGATGGCCCACAAACACCCGGCGAGCGCACCGGCAAAGCAAGCAGTTTATCCCGTTCTAGTTGAGAAATTTCTAGGAGCCTGATCAGTACTGCAGTAGCGACCACGTTGGCTACCACGTACAAAGCTCTCCCCGAGAGTTCGGATATGCAAAGTGCAGTTGACGAAAGATATATGCGATTACTTCTAATTGAGAGCTCGAGTTTTAGAAGTTGTTTAGTCGATCATGCACTAGGAACATTCACTTTTAAATATATTAATAAATAAGTAAAGCACTTAGTCCTAGGTTTTTTTCACCAGTATTACTGTATTTATATTTAACTCTTTATGTTGGAGTAAAAGTTTTAGGGTATTGAGATGATTTTGACTGCGATCGTTGACCTACTGGCAATATAAACTGAGGAGTTTGCATACATATATTTCATACAAAGAAAACAACATAGGTGCCAGAAATGTTTTTTAAGCACTGTGTTAAGATCTTCTGGCAGATAGCGGTTTTGCCTGGAATCGACTTGGTACTCATTAATAGGCTTGCTACAGTGACTATATTTCACAGCCTTTTAGAAATCACTGACCGTGTCACTTTCCTAACGCATGACAAAAGGCTTATAGACCGGGTTCACTTATCAGAGGCACTTTTTGTTATATTTGAAAACAAGTAAAAAAGTCGCAGTGTTTTGGTAATGTTATCTAAAATATCACGATTTTAGATGCTTAAAAATTAATTTGTCGAGACCATCAGATTCACATGTTTTCTGGAAAGAACCTCATCAACAATCTTACAAACCAAGTTAACCTGCTTTAATCATTAATATGTTATCGGGGTATGGCAAACGAGCGAAGGTTGCGGACTTGATTCCCACAGCGTTCTTTTACTTTTTTAATAATCGGTATGGCTTTAGACGGCGGGCTATTACCCAAAGGAAGTCTTTATAAGTAGTTAAGGACCTAATCGAAGTTTTATGGTATATCTTTGTGATTAGTAAGGAACACTTTGTCTGGCAGGTAATGGTTGAAAATATATCTTTCTCGGACTTGTAATAATGCAATTTTGAGTTGTCTTAGCTGAAGGTGAGGTTGATTGGCGTCCTCATCTTGTTAAATAGCCAGATTTACTGTATTACTTGAATGTGGAGAAAAAAGCTCCAGGTCTGTAAGTTGTATCCACAATTTTTTAAAATTGCGATTTGTGTGGGTGGCGCACGTCTATTTCAATCAGAAGTGTTTTGATCTAAAAAAGTGCTTTTGTAAAACAGAGAGCGATGCATGAAATGAGATATTATTCCTCTGGACGAAAAGTACGTAGATCCTCTAGGCCCTATTTTGAGGGTCCCATTTTATATGCTCCAGTCTATTAGAATTGATCTATTAAAATAAATACCTTAACTCTTAAGTTAATGTTCGCGTTTAAAAGGTTCTAATAGTGTTTCAGTCCCGGACATATAGGGCGTTTACATTGGACAGAGTTAATTAATATAGGTTAATCTTGCTAGGGAATATAAAAATCCCAAAAATTTTAAGCGGTTATAGTTCAAAATTCTAATTTGGATTCTGAAGAGGACACCCGACGGCACAACAACTTTTGCAGTTTATTGAACGGCCGACTCGGAACTTCAATTTTAAGAAATCCACGGGGGCCGTCTTTCTCGACTTTGAAAAGGCCTTGAAACGCATATGTCACGAGATTCTCCTTCGCAAACTACGCACATTAGGTATCCCCTTAGCCCTCAAAGCACACGTGCGTCGTTTTTATGAGGCGCACGTTTTGACTTAGAGTTGGGGGTGCCGTCGCCTACCATCGGCTGACATCTAGTGTTCCGCAAGGCTCTATACTCTTATCCCCCCTCTTCGCGCTATACCTGCGAGACAGTTCACTCTCTGCGAAACCCTCACACCCGCTTTCCACGCTATGCCGGTGACACTGCAAAGTACGCCACCTCAAAGAGCCCCTCATTATTACGGCAAGGCAACACCTACAGTGTTATTTGGAAACATTTGCTAACTGGTATCGTCAGTGGGAAGTAACCGTTAATTATATGAAGAGCAGAGCGATTCTCATTTAAAGATGCATAATGCTACCCCCGCCTTTTACTTCTGGAAGATAGGGCTCAGGCCAAAAACTTGGGCGTCGTCATCGATAAGAATAACTTGGCGGTAACATGTAGCGTTCGTCACGACTAAGGTCAAAAGCAGCCAATTCACGCACACCACCCACTGCTGTGTGCTAAAAGCACAACGTCCCTGCGCAATAAACTGCGCCTTTATAAAGTATGCGTGCGCCATATTATGATTTTGCATCTGTCGCTTGGACATAAGAAAAACGTCGACGAGTGCACCCCCCAGTCTAAGCAAAATTAAAAGCCCCTGCGATTAATGACCGATACCTTATTTCGTGCGGAACGAAAAGTTGCACGGCGACCTAGGTTTGGAACGACTTGAAGTATGCAATTTCATTTTCTTTTTTTAAACGTGTCAGTAGGCATCCCAAACCACCACTAAATTCAAGAACTTATATACGGACCCTGGAAAGGCTCACGCTTTCAAAGATTCTGCGAAGCGCACAATTACAGTTATTGTAAGATGACCTGCCCAGCTAGCTACGGTCTAAGCCTAATAACTTTAATTATTGGCAAGACTAAGCAGGCTGCGCTCAATATTACCGAGCATCTGCACAATCCCTTGATAATAATAATAGAAAAAAATCAGTTATAGCATTGCAGGTATAAACTTAAACCCACAGCTCCAAGTTTCCTATCATTAACTTTCAAAGTTGAGTAAAAAATATGCCTGGTGGTAAATATTGCTACTTCTTTTAAACTTTTAGCCTTACGATCTAATCTGTACCTCAAATAATTTAATAAGGAAAAGCTATCGCCATCTTTAAGTTGTTTCTTTGAAATTATATTATATTATCTTTAGCTGCACAATTACTCTCATGATTCACGTTCCTTCTCTCAAACCCCTAAGCATATTAACTAGGAAAAGGTTTATTAATGTTTCTAAAAAGTTCAGGTAGTCAATTATGACACTACAGTTTCTTAGAGGTTAATAATAATTTTAGTGCATGTGTTACTTGCACAGATGGTGAAGTATGACCAGGTTTACAATCATTAGAAGGAGGTATTGTTTTGAATAGCGCAAGAGCATTTTGAACGCTTAGGGGAAACCAATACACTCTCAGCTCTGGGTGAAGCATTGCTATTTTGTTTATAAAGCGGTGCTTTTTTTTTTATAGTAGTCAGCGTTAGCCTTGGCCGAATTCATTTTTATTACACTCCTCATGTAAACTTCTATATCTTAGTTTAAATATGTGTAGTATAACAGTAGCTATAGCATTTAAGCAAGTAAGCCTTCTAAATAGGGAAGACAGGATATGAAAAAAGTTGTGGATGGGCACGTTTTTAAAATTAGGTAAATAATACAAATTTGCGTTCGCAATTTACTAGCTCATAAACTATACTTTTTGTACTGCAATTAATAAATTACGCTTATCATTTGTTTATAGTGCGAGCTTTTATATAACTTTGCTACCTACCATCTTTTATCCGAAGCCCGGCCGAGCTAGCTATAAAAAAAACCATTTCCGTACTATGAAATAAAACTTGAGGCGTGAAAAGGAGGGTTTATGTGGTGGCAACCAACAAGTTAGGCCCGGCCAAGCAGCTCACAACTTTGAACACAATATATTTATTTTGTTATAAAGTTATATAGGCCAAATATTTAGAAACTTTTTTTTTATAACCTTAAAGAGAAGAGACTTACTGATCATATTAAACTACTTATACTATTATATTATTATTTTTTTAAGTTTGTTTTTATGCTATCGTTTACCGTATCTTTTTTAAAAAAAAAAACAACCATGCCTGGCAATCAAAGTTCTCTTCTGTAATATTTATACGTATTTAACTTATTGTTAATTTTTTTTAAAATTAATTCGTAAGGAAATTTTATGGCACAAAGATGCCTCACAAAAATGATACTCTGGTTACTGTCACTGGAAGTAAAGTACCTCATAGTGAGGATGCTACTTTGGTTGATTCTAAGAATAAAAGAAGTTATGATATAAAAGTTTACCTTCTAGTAGTATCTTAAAAAATACTTTTTAGCTAAAATTTCCTCCTCTGAAAACCTTGAACACTCTAGAGAGGTTAGTAGCTTATTAAAATATCATCTCTTTAAGTAAAACACATTATTTGACCTCTTTTTTTTGGTTATTTACTTTTATTAATATTATAGATTTTTATTTATTTGATACGTATATTTATGTGTAATATAATATTTATTAAATTTAAAACCAGCTTATAGTCATGATTTTAGGTTACCATAATCCTTGCTAACTTAGGGATATTTAGAAATTTAAATATTAAAGTTATATCTTTTTAGTACCTTTTACGTTATAAAAGTTTATAACATACCTAAAAGTTTATACTACGCTATTAAGGATTATATATACACGCTAGTAATTTAGTTTAAAATGGAGAGACTATTAGCTGTTGAGCTTTGTTTCTCCTATTTACATTTCGCAAACTTTATAAGAATGTTGCTATGATGGTGAGATCTCTTTAAATAATATGTAGTTAAAATCCCTATCGAAACTTTCTTACTTAAAATTGTATATACATCATTTTATTTTTAATAACTTTTAAATTTCTCTCTTTAATAATTAAACTATTCCGGCTTAACGCTTGGAAAAATTGATTGAAATTCGACATACACGTGAATTTAAGTGTAGTTATAATACTATTTCAAGTTGTTTATATTTGAGTACTTTAGTTTTTTTATAAAACTTGCAACTTTTGTAATTATTAATATTATTTTTCTACTATTTGTCATATAATAGAAAGATGGTGGGACTTGATTCTATAAACTGGAAATCTTTTGATCTTTTAGATAATTTTAATAATTCACTAGTTGATAAGTTTATATATATATATATTAAATAATATTTACTTAGTGGGGCGGTTTCTTTGTATGTAGAATGAAATTATTTTCCTTTACCTAGAAATTTTCTATATTTTCATTTTTCTTTTTGAGTGTTACTATAATAATTATAATATAAAACGTTATGAAACTTGTTTTATTTTGCTATTGGCTTATTTTTTTAATCGAAGCAACTATTCGCCAGTATCCCAATAGAGTTGGTTATCGCATCTGGAGTGATGCAAGTTGGAAAATGAATGAACCGTAATTTACTATTTACTATGGATTATTTTTTATTTATTCTAATTCTAATATTTTTCTGTTTAAATTTTTTTTTGTATGTAGAGTTCCATACTCTATTCTTGCCGAGACGTTTGAAATCATTGAACAGGAGCCAAAACGGTTTTTTCTTTTTTCTTTTTTCTTTGGTTGTACTTTTTTTGCTTAACAATAAATCTCATTTGCAGTTTTTAAGTAGAGAAGCATTAGAAAACTGGACTTTTTATTATAAACACTTTTAGATTAAAAATCACCGAAATTGTCAGCGACTTACTGCGCTCCATCATTTACTTGACTCCGGAAGATCTCCTTCCCTGTGTCTATTTGTGTCTAAATAAGGTTTTTTTTGATAATTTTAAAGATTTTTAGAACCCAATTGAGCGCTTTTCTTCTTAAATCCGTAGCTCGGGCCCGCCTATGAGGGTGCGGAGCTGGGTGTGGGAGAGTCTCTTCTGGTCAAGGCCATGCGGGATGCGACGGGCAGGAGCATCAAGACCATCCAGGAGGACATCGAGGCTCTAGGCGACATCGGATTGGTCGCAGCGGTTGTTGCCGGCCTCCTGTTGGTGCTCGTCGACTCCTCAGCGTTGACCATCCAGTATTAGTAGAGCAGTCGGGGAAGACAGAAGACGCTGCTCCGCCCCAAGCCGATGACCGTGCGAGGTGTCTACGAAACTCTGAAAAAGATAGCCGCTGTCACCGGAAATACTGTGAGCAGCTTAAACGTAGTTATTGGTCAGCAGTGTAGCAGGCCTTTCATTATATATCTAGAGCACTCAGAAAAAAGTGGACCTGATCAAGAACGGGTTAGTTGCTTGTCGGTCGTCCTGCGAAGCCAAATTCTGGATTCGGTGGGTATTCCATTGTCCACGTGACAGAATGCCACTGTTGCTCCCCTTGCTTTTCTCTTTCATTCGCTGTGTGGTTTCCTTGTATTCCTACTATCCAGCATTTTCTAAAGTGCCCCCCTTCACGATATACTATTGGCTTGAGAAGATTGTTTCCCATTGACTATAGGTCCTTGTCTGGAAAACTTCGTATTGGATTGGCTGAGCAGACCGTGTTGACCAGCTTAGGTCACGCAATTGCTTTGACACCGCCGGCACACCTGGATGGTTTAATTTTTTAGAAATATTGTGGCGTACTTTTTATGTTTTCAATTGGGAGAACTTCTTACGTGCCCCTTTTTAGCTGAAGATGGTGCGCGCGCTAAACAGGAAACTTTGGACCGCTCGGTGTCTTTAGTGAAAACCGCATTTTGGTAGCCGCTTCATTATTATCGCCGTCCTGAATTATATTTTGGCTTAAGAAAGTCTGTATTATGCTCTTTTTTTAGTGAAATGCCAAGTTTGGACAAGTTAGTGCCTGCTTTGTTGGAGCATCCGTTGGAGGATATCCCACTCTACTGCACAGTCACTCCCGGTTTTATAGAAATATATAATTATTATCTTCTATTGATGTTCTTTTTTGTGCAGGAATTCCCGTCAAGCCGATGCTGGCGCACCCAACAAAGTGCATAAGGCAAATACTAAGCCGCTTCGAAGGCCACGCCTTTACTTGCGAGTACAAATACGACGGCGAACGGGCACAGCTGCACCTATGCGAGGACGGCACCGCGAAGGTATATAGTAGAAACCAAGAGGACACCACCCAGAAGTTTCCCGATATTATTGCTCGCGTTAATAAAGTAAGTGTACATTCACTAGAGGGTGTGAGGCAGTTTGCGATTCGCAGAAAGTGTTGATTTGTACTTTCTATCGGTTAGATTAAAAAGGATGAGACCATTCGCAGTTTTATACTGGATTGCGAAGCCGTCGCGTGGGACGCTAGCAAACGGGAGCTGCTTCCGTTTCAAGTTTTATCCACTAGAAAACGAAAAGTTATCATTAATATATTTGTTGGGCAATCAGCATGTGAGCATTTTCACAGGAAGTCGAAGCACAAGCCATATCAATACACGTGTGTGTCTTTGCTTTTGATCTTCTGTACCTCAACGGAACGGTACAGAATTTCAGGTGGTCTCCTGACTTTATGAACGGCTCTTCCACTGACAGCCTTGTCACCGCCTGCCCTTCTGCGATAGGCGGATGTTGTTAAAGGAAAACTTTATACCACTGGAAGGTATCCGTTATAGCAAATGGCCGCTCTTCAATAAGAACTTTTTTTTTTCAGGACAATTTCAGTTCGCGAAGGGAATGGACTCGCAAGACACTGAAGATATTCAAGACTTTTTAGACCAATCCATCAAAGGCTTCGCCTTCCTATACTTCATGTGACCGCGTGCCAAACTTTTTAGTTCACTACAGACAAGTGCGAGGGGCTCATGATCAAAACTCTCTCCAGTCACGCCACATACGAAATTTCAAAGCGATCTCGCAATTGGCTGAAAGTTTATATCCTTTTTTTTACTCAATCATTATTGATGGATGCGCTCCAGCTAAAGGCCGATTACCTCGAGGGCATTGGAGATACCTTGGATCTCGTGGTCATCGGTAACTGCTCAGAGTTTTCTAATTGATTGTTTCATGCCCAATGCATTGGCTAAGGCGCGACTAAGGGCCAAGGGAAAAGGACTGGCGTCTATGGGAACTTTTTATTGGCTTGCTACAATCCGACTTCTGAGCAGTATGAAACAATTTGTAAAGTAAACAAGTCTTTGATTGGCGGTGCAGTTGCACTAAAATTCTCTTCAGCTGGGGACTGGGCTCTCTGAGGAAAACTTGGATGCGTTTACCAGTACTCTGCAAGGCGTACTTCGCTCTCTTTCATTACATCAGTGCGGTCAATAGTGCATTCCTTTGCAGCTCGTAATAAAAGCACCAAAAGGCTACTACAAGTGCGATAGAGCCGATGCAAGTCGGTTTTATTTCCTATAGGCTAATGATGTACTGCTTTTTTGTAACCGGCTGCTTGCTAGCCGTGTGGTTTTCTCCTTCGGTAGTGTGGGAAATAAAAGCGTCCGACTTGTCCATCTCTCCCAAGTACCAGGCAGCCAAGGGATTGGTGCGTTATTTGCTCGGACAGCCTTCGTCCAATTCTACACCACGCATACTTCCAGGTGCATCCCAATAAGGGGATTTCCCTTCGTTTTCCGCGCTTTCTACGCATTCGCGAGGACAAGACTCCAGAAGAAGCCACAACATCGCAATCGGTCTCTTTATTTACATGATAATTTGCTAATTCTCTCGTCTTATTATTGTTAGGTGGCACATTTCTATAATCTTCAGCAGAACAAACAAGAATTAGTAGAACACGATGAGTATTGAATTAAATAAAAATTATAGAATAGCTTATTTTTAATAAATCTTTTATCTATCCCATAATTTGAAAAGTGCTAAGCATACGTAGATAAAAAAAAGACGTGTACATATTTTAGGTAGGCTACAGTAAAACTATTGTTGACGCGAAGTGTTTGAACCTAACAAACCTCCGTTAGGAGCTTACGAATTGGACTATTTTCGTTTTGTAACTAAAGCGCCACTTAGTATATCATTCCCTCCGTAATAAATAAACTTGCATATGCGCTTGGTTGTGCTAACTCTCCGAGAATGCAAGTAATGATGGAACCATTAGTGCTAAAATCACTGCAATATAAGATTTAACAATCAATACCCTTTATCTCTTTAAACCCCGTTATTCCCGTTGAAGTCAATAACCTGAAAAAAGGCTCTAGAAGAAGAGCAAAGGTTAAAGTTGTGGCCTTAAAGTTTACAAAAAATTTAAGTATCTTTGAGGGCCAATAGGCTTAACTTTATATGTTTTATGCACAGATAAGCTATTATGCGAGCTTCTCTTTATAATATTGTCAATAATAATGGACTTTTCACCCATTTAATATAATTTTTGCAAGCAGTCTAGAGGGAAGACATATCCAGCCCTCCAATTTAGCTCGGCGTGTCGTCTCTCTAGCTGTACGTTATAGAATGCCAACCTTACTAGGCTTCAAAAGTTCTTAGTAACTGGAAAATTTTCAAAATTATAATATTACTAGAACTAATCATACCTATAATTTAAAATAAGGATGGTAACAAAGTTATAGCCTACACTCGACAACGGACGAACAAAAGTAAAATAAGATAAAAGAGGTCCCGCTCTGAGTTAAAATTATACAAAAACAAATCTCTTTAGGAAAAATGTCGTACCAAACTTTATTAGCTATTTTCATACTTTTTTTAATTTAATAGATATCCTTGGACAAAAGAGTATGATCACCGACGAGTAAAACAGAAACCAAAGAAGAAAGGAGACGAGCGGAAGAGACCACACTCCCAATAAATAATAAGCCCGGGTGAATAGCGACAGGTCTTCAGTGGGACTCCGACGAAGAAATTTCTCCGTAGCAGTTATTAAGACTGGCGGTATCAACAAAGGATAAAGATGTCCTCGAAATATTATACTGACCAGTTTGTTCCCAATTACGTCCTCTATACGATGATAAAAACAATAAAATTTTTTTATTTGCTACAAGGTAAGACCTGCGAGCGGGCGAGCCCATAAAAGGAGTGGAATAGCAACGAGCGAAACCATCACTCCCAATGGAAAATTGAGAAAGAAAATACCCAAAACAACACTGCTCGTGCATGTGGCGGTGAGGTACTTAAGTAGCCTCCAGTTACCCTCTAATGGTGAGCGGAACACCCAACGGGGCACGCTTACGAGAGCAGAGAAAAGCCCCATTGAAGCGAAAGTACACGTGCACACAGAGGTGGGAAAGTGGAGCAAAAGAAGCGTGGAGAAGCCAGCTAGCAATATGGACAGGCCCGCGAGGAAGAAAGAAACGCGCAACTGTCCGGCTATCAGAGAAAATGCGAGGCCGCCTTTAGGCTCATGTGGCTTGAAGTAACGGGATTCAGTGAGGTTCTTGGGCAAATGGTCTACAGGGCACTGATGGTGAAAAAAAAACTACTTGTAGGGCCGATAAATTTGTACCGCCAGCGGGGTTGACGGCTCTTGGATTCGCACGACCAATCAGAGATATGCAATGGAGCCACAAGCCCAAGGATAACGCCGACACGGAGAGGAAAAAGAACAGAGCAGGTATGAAGTATAAGCCTGCCGAGAAGAAATGTTATAACAGTCATAGATTGCTGATGAAGAGAGCCCCCGCCCAACCTGCACCATAAATAATACTACTAACTGACCAAGGGTGGGAGGGTAGGACATTGCAACAGAAAAACATAATGATCATAACTAAGCGGCAGAAAATGCTTGTCCGTCACAAGTATGTAATAGAAAAACGATTGGTGCAGCTTTTCCTCCACGGTATCCAGTACTCGCATGACCTTTTCTATTATGCTGTGAAGGCTTCAGTAAACTATTTATAATGCTAATGAATATACAAGTGATCGATTACCGCCCAAAATATAGTATGTCCACGCCGTTCGATTTAGTTCCTTCTAAGGTTCTCACCGTAACGAAAGGGATATTCAGGCTAATACAACAACGAGGTTGTTAGTGAAGCGATATATGTAGAATGCGTTTTGAATCCTAATAACTACGAACGGCATATAATATTTATATAAGATCGAGTAGATAACATAAAGAACACTGGTACGGAGTAAAGAAATAAAAGTAAACTTCAAAAAAGGGCCATGAGGGCCGTTAGGAAGGCCGGTTATTTGGCTCAGAAGCATATTCACAACCAGATCAAAGAAGTCCGTGCTCAATTTAAAAGGCAAATACGCTAATAATAATGTTAAAAGACTCAAGGAGAAAAAAAGTAAATGAAGTGATTCAAGAGTTTAATAAAGTTATGAGAAGATTAAAAAATAATTAAGAGTAGCAGTGGAGGAATTTATCACGAGACTCGAAGTCAAAGTTAGTATAAATAATGCCTCAATGCGCTTAAAAATGCATTTTCCTCATAAGCCTTCCAACCAGATAGCGTAGCTAAATATCATAACCGGCTTACTCAAAAAATGGCATGTAGAGACCGCGACTCAAAACATACAAATGAAAAGTAAAATAATAGACCAATGGAAAACCTCCTAGATATTCATGAAGAAAAGCGGCCGAATGGATTAGTTGTTTTTCTATGGACACGTGCAAATTGAACTCTTCACTCATCGAGGAGATTAACTTGAGCAGATCCGAGTTTGGTTGAATACCATTGGGACCCGCTACAATGCATATATACTAAATGTTGGCTTGTCCTATTCTTATTTGAGATCACCTATCGAAAGTTGGAGACCGGAAACCAGTAAACTTCGTACATCGATGGAGAAGCCGCCGAGAAGTTCTCCCGCGTAACCGCGAATGGGCGAATAGCGCAGGCCTACAGTAAAGGAACACATTTGTGATTCGGGTGATGTTGATTGTGTGAATATAAATATTCGAGGCCTATATTTATTATGTATTATAACTTTTTTACTTTATTTACTTTCAGTCTACTTAATTTGTTTATGATAACTTATTTTGTTCTTACTCTGCTGGTGAATTTATCCTGTCTGTTACTTCCATTTTTTCTCGTAAACGTATCTTCATATTAAGTTGTGTTTGATATAATTATGATACCCCTAGTGTAGTCACAAGCTTTATTTAGCTTTTTACTAGTCATTATTATTTCTTTGCATTCTTTTTCTAACTCGCTTTCGTATTTTCTTTAATATTATAACTTCTATAGCGCTCTAGAAGAGGTGTAGTTATTTCTTAGTTATAAATTATTTATTCCCATTTTTATAGACTCTTTCTTTATATATAGTAATTGACTGAGAATAATAATAATGCAAACCAGTAGGCGACGGCTTCAAAGGGAAATAGTGATAACCGGTGAGCCAGGCTTGAACCCCAACATCTCCGCCCTCCGTTACTAAAAGGATAAAATCCCGCGAAAGTGTCTTCAAACCTTCAAAAAAGTCATGATTGGTGTTTTATTATCCAATATAAAACAAATTATGGAGAGTAAACTCTTAAAGATAAAATGATTGGTCAATAATGAGAGAGTGGCGGAAAGAATGTTATGTTTGTTATGAACGGCCAACCCTTGACTCCTATTTTAAAGTCAACTGTTTTATAGCCAATCAATACTTATATAATATGTAATTTATGACCGAGCCAACCTAATAAGGCTTCATTATTATATGAATAACAATTTTCTTTAATATTATTGGACAACAATTTTTCTTTGATAGACAACAAGAAGAGAAATGCTTACTTTTAAAATAACGAAACAACTCATAAGCTACTCCCACACTCAAATGACTCCGCCAATCGCTAAAGTTGGCATCTGGAAAGGTTAAAAAATAATAATAAAAATAATTAAAAAATAAGGAGAGCCCATTATATATTCTAATGTGACGCGTACTGGCAGTCAACAATCTTGTTTAAAAGGTTAATGTGTTAATATACTAAACTAGTGAAGGTTTTCGGCTTATCAAAATAAATTATTATAATTTTATCCAATCAAACTTTTACAGTCAAGTCTGGTGGTACATGTGCCTCGGGGTCGAAAAGGTTATAAGTTTTACCCTAAATATACTAAAAACGATTCGAAAAGCTTACGCAAACATTTATTTCTAATAAATTTAACGGCAATAACTTCTGAAAAAAAGAAAAATCAACTCAAAAAATATACACATAATTAAAATAAATATAACTGTTTTCATATCTTGCTTGTTTACTTTTATAAGAAGTGTTATAAACTTTAATTAAGTTTAAACATAAATTAGTATTTATAACGTAATATGTTGCTTACTATAACCAATGAAAGATTTATATATTAGGCATAAAAAGGTTATACAGGTATATAACGAAGTACTCTTATTATTAAAAACTTATTAAAAGAGAACTTACTAACATTCAAAAAGCTAACCTTTATTGATAAATAAAATTCTTTAACAACTATTATGCGCTGTTGCAATTTAAAAAGTATGTATAAAAAACCTTCAAAGAAATGAAAGCTTTGATGACTAATTGTAATAACTAAAAAACTTAAGAGATTTTAAAATATAAAAATATTTTGTGTTTAAAAAGAAAGCAGACTACTTTGTTCGTAAGAAACCAACAAGACGAGACTCTCAACACTATGAGCACGCTGCGAGCGCAAAATTCCATAAATATTGCTTCCGTTAACTCTGAAAAACGGATCTGAATCAACCTTAAAAGTATAAAAATATATATAAATGTGAAAATCCAATTTAAAATAAAAAAGAAAAAATTTAAAGCTGTATTTTTTGAATATACAAGAATACCCACTCAAAGTCCTGTTTATAAGTTTCCATTTCTAAAGCACTAAAACTTTCCAATAACCATGTATGCCTGCTAAGATTTTCGAAATTTTCGACGGGCTGAGAAGAAAGTGTTTCGACAAAGTTATAAACATTTTTCTTGTTTACTCTTGACTGAGGAAGAGGCTGTAATGTAAGTTATAATATAAGTATACTCCAGTTCAACTTAATAGCTTATTACATTAATATTTCTTTTAGTACTGAGAAAAAAAAAATATACTTTACGAGTTTTAAAAAATATATACATATATACTTGAAGTTTAAGGGCGTTTTCATCAAATTTTAGTTCAAATTTTACCAGAGGTAAAGCAAATAAAAAAGAAATCCCCAAGGAATATAACAAAAGACTTAGCTTACAGTAATTGCCTTCTACTAATTTTAAGGATTTCTTTAATACGCTTACAAGACGCTTATTATTTTTCAATGAAAGCCTCATATTATTAATATTGTATTGCTTAATACAAAATTTTTGCTTGCTTTCTCAATGTATGAAAGAGAAGATGCAACGCGCACAAATACTTTGTTCCAGCGTCGTTGATTCGTTACTTCCTCGCAAAGCTCTGCTAAAACACGGTTTTATAATTTGATATCTGTAGGTTATGTGAAGGTTACTCGTCCAAGGGTTTTGCAAATTATGTGAGTAGGCACCCGCTGGCCAAATTTTTTTTTATATTGTATTTACTTGCTTTTAGTTTGTGGTGGTCGGGTCTCGGGGGGGTTAAAGATTGTCAAGTTAATTACCACAGTTTTCTTTTAGTCCTTCGACTTTCCTATATTATATGTATATATATAAATTTATAATATACTCGTTCTCGAAACTATCAGACAGTCAAAACGATAAATCTCAAAAGGGTGCATGGCACTGAATATTTAATGGAAAAAACAAAAGCGGAACTCAATAATGCCTGTTACAACTCTTTTTTTTTAACCTCAAAAGGTTTATGCCTCTCAGGGCAAAAAGAATTACATAGAGTATTGAGAATTCATTACTTTATATTATTTAGGTTAAATATTTTTTTTCTTTTTATAAGTACTGTCATTAGTAATGTGATGTAATATAAGTATTTGAAAATTTTAAAGCACCGTTTAAATTTGTTTATTTTTATAAACTTTTTAGTAGCGCTAAAGAAATCTTTTAAAAAGAAAAAAAGAGGATAAAAAAGATCATGGTAGCAGCCGTGTATGGCCAAATTTTATAAGCACATGCACCCTGTCCTCAACAAATCTTGAAAAAAACAATAAGGTAACAATCTATTACTTTCCTAGATGGATACAGCAAAATATTAAAACACTATATAGGATTAATTTTATTCATTTAAAATAAGGTATAAACACGAATTAAGAAAACTGTTCAATGTTTGAGTGTTCTTGCGAACACCGTATTGTCCAATCTTGTTATCGCAAACAATTTTTAATTTGTAATCCACCTCTTCTATAAAATATAATAACTTGTGTTAAAATTTGTCTGTATAACGCGTTAGTAAGGACTGGTAGCCCTAAAACTAAGATATGAATGTTATAAGGATGAAAAAAACTCAATTCTGTTTTAAATAATATCTCTTTATAGCCTTACTCAAGCTTGTTTCGCTGGTCTGTTAAGTAATTTCACATATATAAGTTTAAAACCATGAATATTATCTAATTCTAAATACTGTCTTATTAAGGCACTACAACTCGCTTACAAGTAAACTTTTTAAATCTGTAATTAAAGAAAAGCTGTAACTTTAAGAGGGTTAAATAAAAAATTGTGATATATATAAGCTAGCGACAGCGTTGCAGCGCGGCTTTCTTTTTGTCTCCACTCGGTGTAAGTTTTAAACCAAGCAATTAATTGTACCATGGTCACTATGTTGAATAGATTTGGTCTTAGTACTTAACAACCTCTTCAAAGCACGCATTATATATATATAATCAAACCTCAAATGTAATGCCCCCTTTTGTTTGTAGCGTTCTTTCAGTCTAGAACTGGAAAGAAGTTTCCTTGATTGTCTGGAAGGCAAGATAAATTAATTTTTTTGGTCTACAGGGCTGAACATAGTGCTGTTACTAATTGGACAGAGTATACTAAACTAAAAGTCTAACGTCTATAGAGCGTGTGCAATTACAAAATGATAGAACTCCAAGGGATAACTTTTAACAGATTAAGAGTTTAACTCTCTGTGAGACGCCATTTCGATTCCCAGAGGTGGACAAGTTTTTCTGGAACCTCTAGAGGAGTCTAGGAAAGTGATGGACTTCCGAACCTCTGAGCTCGTCTGGGAGCCGGATCCGAGAGGTTCGAGATCTAAAGGGTCTGAGAAAGAGAAAGGGCTTGACACTTGGCCTGAGCTACCATAGTTCCCTAATCTAAAGGTAAGAGGGAGTGGCGAACTTGGATACCCTTATACCGGATTAATTGCGTTCAAGTGTGTGGCGACCTCTTTTGAAGTTGCGGAAGCCTCGTGCCTTTATTAATGGATACCACAAGATGATCGATTTATCTACTTAAAAAAAGGATTTGGGTGAAAAAGTCTCTTTTTCTGTTTTAAAGTGATAACTTCACGAGTTGCTTTAACATGATATAAAGCTAAAATTATGAAAGACAACTTATTGACAAATTTCAGCACATACGGGATTATCTCGAATTTGATATTGATTAAAGGACGTCTTGATATCCTTTCAAGTATTACAAGTATGATCAGTTAATGAAAGTATAGATAAGACGCCGTAAACATTAAGTTAGGAAGTAATTAAACTCCCCGTAATCCATTCTAAGAAAGCAAATTGGTAAGGATGTATGCCAGTTTTGTTGTATAAAGGTGGAAAAATCAAATTAGAGAGCAGCGCTATTTGGTACAAAAGCCGTATAAAGCTCTTTGCAACTTGCATACGCCTTGTTTTACTATTTTTATTTCAACGTAGCACCTAATAAACAGATGTCTAGATAACGGAAGATGAAAATTTGCCTTAAGTTTATATTCGTGTTGGTTTAAAATATTATAAAAGATTGTAGCTATTATTTAAAAATATTTATGTTATGTTAGTCTCCTTTATAGAAACTTGGGCTTACATATTAAGGATAACCTAAAGAACCCTATAGTTTCAAAAAGTTTATTTAATATAACAAAATACATTAGTTTAAGTTAAAGGGTTTTTAGTAGTAGTGATACGGCTGTTAAACATAGGATTTGCAGAAGGCCGCTCCGTCAAACGGTAATGTACCTTGATTTTTTTTTAAATCCAAGTTGCTGTGTTTGTCGCTGGAACTATTGCAGCAGCCGCTCCTGGCACACCTAATTCTCTAAAAAGATTTTTATTATCAACAGCTTTACAATTTACGGTATATTCCTGTCTGCCAAGCAAATTTTTTTTAAGTATCGCAAATTTCACCTTGCTGTGGTGGTTTATTCCCTACTACGATTCTGTGTGCGTTCTTGAGTGCTCTTTCCTGACAAGGACTCACTTTGCACTAATCCCATTCACACCAATCGGAATAAATGTGGTAATTAACTTTAGTACATTTTATTATACAAAAACGCGTATCCGTGAGAGGTTCGTCGTTTTCCTAGAGAAGGTGTTTTTATTGTCCCACTTCTTTAGCTCACTTCAACGCCTTCTTCTTCATTACAAGGCTAAGGCAGTTCGCATTGCCCTCAATCTCTCTAAGGGGGATAATTTTAACATGGGAAGATATTACATTTTACCTCGCAAAAAAGGAATTTTGTGACCAAGATTGTCTAGTTCTTCATTATTAGTACATTGGGTATCAAGAGATGTTAATATTATTAGTTTGCGTAACAGACTTGCTTTGCTCCTGGCAAGGTTGGGGAATCTCGCAGCTGCTCCATAGGCTCCATTCAAAATAAGGTACAATGGTTCTTCTCTGGGTGGCGGCGGATGTTATTCTTCCCCTCCGTTTGCGGACTTTTCAAAATAACTCTTTCGGTGGATACTAGTTCCATTGCAATACTTAGGTTCACATGCCCCCCGTGGATTCCAGTCAGTGTATCGCAGTTATTAGCACATATTTTATAAGCCAATTTTTTCGCCTGCTTTACCTGGAATCGCTAAAGTCTGACATCTATCGTTAAATTATAATCTCCTGTTAAGTTCATTAAGCGCTCTTTATTATTCTTGATAACCATTTTAAAAGCAACTATGTTATGTGGTATAGGCTGCATGTTACGTAACCAGGGCCCCACCACAAAAAATGGATCGTTTATATTAAAATAGCTGTAACCTTCCGTATCACAACCAGAATTTTTTTAACGTCCGCTCTGCAGAGAGGTTTCTAATTATATATTTCTTCAGGTATTTTTTACATATGCCTTATTAAAATTGTAATTGCGGAACTTTAATAGGTAATCTTTAAAATTATGTCATCAGTTTTAACAAGGTATAAGATGACTTTTCACTAATTATTATGTTGCACTCATTATTTAAATTTGAGATGATGACCCGTGTTTCGGTTTCAGCAATTAGGTAAGGTATTTATGATGTGTTTAATGATGTTTAGAAAGGTGTTAAACTTTTTATTCAGACTTAAATTAATTATCAATTAAAATAGATAAATTGTTTATATCTATAAGAAAGGTAACGTCTCTGAGTTTCTAATTTATGTTTTCTTTAGCAAACACACCTTAAAAAGGAATAATTTAAACATAGTTTCCGATATATTGCGAAGTGATATTTTTTCCCAGTGTTATTTGGTGATATGTGTCCATTAAAAGCTAAATTTGGTTTTATAATTATGTTTGTGACTTTATCATACATTTCTTATATAATTTTTATATAGATATATGGATTGACTCTACTAAAAAAAATTATATTATTAATACTGTTAAATGCATACGGTCACTTACGACAGGTCACTTATTCTAAAATAAAAATGAGTTAATTTTCATAATATTTAAAAATGCCTGAAAAGGTAAAGGCCTTAGAAAAATGTTTGATAATTTTAGAAATTTCCATCTCTAGAAAGGAAGACAAAAATTACACAGCTACTATATAGCTATGAACAAGATCGCCCCGCAGCCCACCCTAATATTTGGTTTTTAGTTTATTAGATCAAGTTACTCTTAGACAAGAAGAGCACTGGTTTTCCAAATAATCATTAGTAAGAAATTTATGCTTTAAAAAGTTACGGAGATATTACTTATAAGTGCCATCTTTTACCAACAAAGAAAGTTTTGAAATTTCTTTTTTGTACTAAAAAATAAATGTTTATATTTATGTAATAGTAAAATTTTAAAATTGTCTTACTTATATAAGCTCGGATTCTCGGTTTCTTAAATAAGCCTCCAATTATTGATTGAGGAAGTTTGTTTTGTTCGGTGTGACATAATTAAGCATAGCTTCATTTGTCTATAAGATATACTGAACGTAATCATAACTATTCTGAAAATTCACTTTGTAGATTAACACTTTGTAAGTCTATGCAAAGTTATGATAAGTAACTCAAAGCATACGTATACTTCTTTTATTATCGTAAATATCACGGGTATTGCTTCTAAACACTCTTTAAGCTTTTTATGTAGGCTAGCTTTTTAGTATG